ACTAATGCATGAAAATCCTAACCTCAAAAAAATCACCCGTTACATGAAGAAAATAATATATATGTCCATAAAGAATACTGTGTAAAAATATTCCACGACAATATTTAGTTACTTTTAAATAATATGACTTTTAAGTTAAGACGTGCGAATTACGTTTAGATGACTGCGTATGGTGCTACGGGACGTATACGTTACATATGTACGCACCTACGGTGTATGAGCATGAGTGATTATTTTTACTTTTTTAGTATATATGTATACGCATATGTATATCTTTTAAGTTTTCAATTAAATCCAATTTCGCGATGGAATCTTTTTCTTTATACAAAACTGAAGATATCTAATGCATTTTCTAAGATAGGTGTACTCGGTTTTTCATTGAAATAAATCTACAGCTGAAAGTAAATAAGGGTAATACTCCTTAGATAGAGTAACAATTCGTTAAGTGCAGCGCTAAGAGACAGGAGCAGATATTCGTCAACATCAATATTTTTGTATTTGAAACGAGTGTTGTATAAAAAATTCTTAAGGCAGTATTCTGTATATTATTAATATTTTTCATTTTTAAGAAATTTTTAAGAATGTAATTGTCATCAGACGTAAAAAAAGACAGAAACGCCGAACCAAATAAATAATAAAATTTCACAGAAACTTGAAAATAGGAATTCAAACATACATATGTACACACAAGGGATGCCAATCCCGAGATCCCGGTGTTTTTGATGTCCCGAAAAGCCCGGGTTTTGCTTGCATTAATCCCGGGATCCCGTAAATTTTAAGATTTAAATGAATGTACACATAGAGTTTTAAGAAAAAGTTACTTAATTTTTTAAATCAATCTACTCGAAACTTGCTCAAATCGAAAAGGTTATAATTTATCCGACGTGCTGGTAAAAAGAAGTTCAAGTATTTTATAATGGAGGAGATATGGCTCATTATCTTCAATTGGCTTATGACTAACTTTTGACAGTTGAGCCCAAAGTGTTGAGGACAAAATATGTTTCTCATCAGAAGGTGTTTTTACGTATGTAACAACTTCAGGTCAAGATTACTAGACTCCGCTTTCAATGCTTTGCTGCTCTTGCAAACTCATTTTAAGTGAAATAATAACAACAACGGCACAAAAAAGGAGTGTGTATTTTCAACCAGACGCACCTAGCAACATATATTTAGACCCGTTGAATCCGATTGTGAGATCCGTTTGACTCGTACATTCTCAAAATCTCGATTAAATTGTGAAAAAAGATGGCATAAAATTCGCCGTTTGCCATTCCTTTATAGAGTAGAATAAACGTGTTTAGAGAAATTGTTTTTGTACATTTTTGTTTAATTTTTTGTTTTTATTAATCATTACTTTCAAAAGTACCTGGTATTTACATTGTTGCCGAAATCCCGGTATCACAACTTCTCTTATATTTTAACATCCATAGTATACACACATGCATACTCACAACTTTTCGTCTTTGCAACATTGTACTTAAGTTGTAAACTTGAGCACCATCATTAAAAATTTTGTGATTGAACTACTCGTACAAATACAATACGTAGAAATGTTTGTCACAAATTAAGTACATATGTATATGAATGAGAACTGCAGCTACCGAGAACGTTTGATTTTGTTAATTAAAAAGTTGATTTTTAACTTGCAATTCTTTCTTTTTGCGATACTTTCCTCAAGTCGAATAATTGCATATACACATTCGTATTTACCTAGGTTACTACTTACTTACATATCGTCAATGAAACTTATTAAATAATACTATGTAATTGTGTACTCGTATTAGTTAATGTTGACTTCCATAGTATGTACGTATGTATGTTAGTAGCCACTAATTGTACTCTTGTTTTCCTATACGGAGAGTCGAATGCATACATCCAAAAAACTTGAATACTCGTACTATTGGTGCCCCCATCAACGAAGGTCGCTCATTTGCATTTCTCTCATAGAAATTATTCACGTATTAGCGTTTACTTGTTCCTGTTGTCAACGTTTAACGTTAAATATTTACATATAATCATCATAACAACTTGCTTAAACACATACATATTTCCTCGTTATATTTTTGCTTATACATATCTGGATAGCCCTTTTTAATTAACGATTAGATGATTTTATTCCTATGACAAATACCTATACTCGTAAACTTACTTAAACTTACATACTCGTACTTACTTACTTACTTACTACTTATATATGTATGTAATACTTTCAAATAAATACCCAATAATAACAAAATATTTTTGGACTAGTTTTGCAATTCATAGCTCAGTTGTAGCGAAGTTGTTTGAAAATCGCAACTAACACACCTTATTTTCAACTCTTTTTTTTCTTGTCTTCTATCTGTCGCATGCTCTCCCATTTTCTCCATTGGCACCAATAGTGGATCTAACTAATGGACAACTAACGCCGAACAACAACACACCGCTACTCACACAGGCACTTTCAGGTAAGTTTGAGTTCAAAACAAAATTACAATATTGAGGTTAATACATCGTAAAACGTTGTGGAAGAAGTGGTACATACACCAAAAATATAAACCGCTAATGACACTCACATTTTTATAATAAATCATTTTCAAATAACACTGGGACAGTTTAATCCATCGTGTGTGCATTTGTATGTGCTAGCGTCGTACATTAGGGAATTCTCCAAATATATCCAACGCGTAAGATAGATAAATAAAGAAAAATTATATTATAAAAAATTATAAGGAATTTACCCTTGACACTATAAAACATAAATATATTTTTATAGGTTTTTAATTTTAGTTTTTAAAATCCTGATATTTGAGATATAATGAGTGGTAATAAGTGAGTATGAGCTTGAAGTGTCCGGCAGGTTTCTTGATCAGGGCGAATTCTTATAAAAACAACTACTCTGACGTAACTGCACTGAAAGCAGCGCATAAAATGAACTCGAACCTCCAGGCAAGTACGATGGAATCGACATCTCTCCGCCTGACTATGACAACTCCCTGGCAGTCAAGATTTATCTTGAAAATTAAGAATTTATGGGCTGTTTTTTATGAAAAATATTCAAAAGAAGATTTTAAAAAAGCAAAATTGTACACTGCCAATATATTCAAAATGAAGATTTTTGTGTATGATGTAATATTTTTAATTTTTAAGTTAAAATTGTTAACTTATTTATATTATCCTTGCTACATCATTGTAAGCAGCAAATTAAGGAAGAAGACAAATGAAATACGAAATCTCCTACAATATTATCTGCCTTCTTCTCTCGCACAGTTAAACATATACTCTAGTGCAGAGCTAGAGAGTGGAGGAAAAGAACAAACGCTATTTTGTACTCTCTCTAGTTTAAATGACAACAATAGAAAATTTCAAGTAAACTGCCATTTAAGAAACATTTGCTGATGGGTCTACATGGATAAATGTATATCGAGAAAAAAAGGGGCGGTGAGATTTATAAAACCACGTCCATGTAAAAATATCAATAAAAAATCGAACTAAATAGCTCAAAATTGTCATGGAACTTTGTCGAATTTTTTTAACTTTTGTACAAAAATTTAAGTTTGGACTTATGGTTTTTGATAGATAACGAGTTATTCTTTCATAAAAAAACAAAAACAAGTAATTTTTAAATATCGAATTTTGTGATTCTTTTTAGGTATTTTTAAATGAAGATTTTTTGGGATCGAATGATTTTTTTAGCTTTAAAATCTTATTTTGAAGATATTTTTGGAAGAAATTAAGATTTTTAGGGGACTTTCTCTGGCAACACTGCTCCCTGGTTAGGCCAAAGTTGGAGTGTGCAACAGTGCAACAATAGTTTGGGATCACATTTAATTCACGAACCCCACATATTCGAAAGAGTTCAACGCCGATTCATTCTCTTCGCTCTCCGACCACTTAATTTTGTAGAACCTCTACCGTTTTACGGTTCCTGGTTAAGTTAGGTTAGGTAGGCTGGCTAGCTACTACGAAATAGGAAAAATCTTAATATCTCAGAGATTTTTGTACAATGTATACTTGCGTTACCTCTATTTACAAGGCCAAAATCTAGATAGTTTTAAAAAACCATCAAGTATGGGTTTAGTGCAATTATAGAGTATAACATTAACCCAAAGTTACGATAACTATTTTTTTTTTGGGGATTTTTCTCAAGCTTTTTGGTTCACTTATGTTTCCCAATTGAAGTGAATTGCAAAACGTACCAATACAATGTTTGGATACCGTTCTACTGCGGAATTTAAACTGGTATATGCAGAGAAACATTGCAACCACAAGCATACATTGCATATTTTGAATATTCAATATAACAATGAATAACCTTTCGTAATTTTCCATTTTCACGACAACAACAATCGCAACTAAAAACAAACGAAGCATGAACTTTGTTTCTGATGCGCTGATTGCTCTAGTGATGCGTTTCGATAACTTTTCGAGTTGCCAACATTATATTATTATATTATATTATACCTATTACTCCTTTAACCGAAAATATAGCCCCACGAACGCACCCATGCAACCAGAACTGCTTTACGTATTGCTGAAGATTACACTTGAGGTTTCTGGGTTATCGTTTATTTGAAAACTTTGGCCACTCAGGACGGTTTTTCTTGGAAGTAGCTGAGCGATCTATAAGAAGAGCGAAACAGTTTAAGTGGCATGCAAATGTAGGTGTAGTGAAATATTACTGAAATATTTTTTTCGTCACCACGGATATCTGTAACCATTGAATGAACTCTTAACAAACAAATTTGCATGTACCGGATTTTCTCATATTTTCAACACCGTTTTACTTGATTAGGTACATATTTTTCTTTAAGAGTCTCATTTCGAAAAATGATAAAATTCAATGGAAAGTGATGTAAAAGAAGAGCGAGCGCACTTTGCATAGTTCGCTCTGCCATTGTTTTAGTAATTTATCCAGTGCCAGAAGTGGTTGTCTGAATTCAGTGTTTCTACGCTACAGGCTATTTAGTTTAGTAGGGCTTATCATATCTAGGGTTCGTGTCATGTTATGATGCTAACAATAATAGTTTGAGGAAATTTATTCGGGTGCTAGACTAAATAACGGCGTAACCTAACGTACTTACTTTCACCTGGGGTAGACCAAAACGATTTTTCAATGACAAAAGGGCTATAAACGACCCATCATTATGTATTGAAAATTCACTGCAATGGAGACACTATCACGTTATTGGATGCCTACTTAAATAATAGTAGCTATGTATCACTACTGCATCACCATAAAAAGTTGCGGTTTTTCCGCCGGGATTACAAAATTTATTATAGTTTAAGACGTCCACCAAAATATTTCGGAAAAATTTTAAGATTTATGCGAGCTGGACCGATTTGAAAATATTTACCTCCAAAAATGGAGTTTTTTATGAATAAAAACAGTTTCTTAAAGAACTTTTTGAAAAAAAACCCTCAGATGACAAAAAAAAATTAGGCTTAAAAATTCGGCATAAAAATATTTAAAAATCTTTTCAACGGAATCGTAATAATGAGATGTTTGATGTTGTTTTTTTTACTTTTTTCAAAGATTGATTTACGAAAAACTTAAATAACTGGGCCAAAACTATTCTGATTTAGACTTATTTGATATCGGTAGAAAGTTATTTTCCCACTATTTATATTTATGTTCAAAAAAAGTCATTCGTGTCCCAATATTTTTTTTTTCAAATACCAACACATCATAATTCAACTTTGAATGATATTCGTTCATCTTATCTTTCTCTTTCATCCTTTGAATGAGTTTATTAGCAAAGAAATGAAAAGGGTGAAAAAATACCTTTCCAATGATATCTCACAAGTCTAAATCGGGGGAGGTTAGGCTCAGTTATTCAAGTTTTTCTTATACAGCATCAAAAATATCATTATTACGATTTCGGTAAAAATTTTTTTTAAATTTTTTAAAATAATTTTTTAAGCTTAACCCGTTTTGTCATTTGAGGGGATTTTTTCAAAAAAAATCTTTAAGCAACTATTTTTATTCATAAAAAACTCCATCTTTGGAGGTATTTTCAAATCGGTCCAGCTCACTTAAATCTTAATATTTATCTGAAATATTTTGGTGGACGTCTTAAAATATAATAGATTTTATAATTCCAATGGAAAAACAGTACTGATTTTTTTTGTATGGGGAGTGATGCAGTCTAATGTACATATGTGCATAAAGGGTGATCAATTCTTTTCTGTATATTAGTTTATTGGAAAGAGCAAATATTCCCAAGATTTATGGAACAAGATTTCATTCACGCGGCTGCCTCGGCTGGCTTCGCAGTAGCGTATTCTGCTAACGCAGTTTTCCAAAACCTCGGTGTCGGTTCTGGCTCTATCACATGAATGGCTTGCCCGATATTCACGCTAAGGACCTGAACCGTTAATGGATTGTTGGCATATTTATTACCGGTCCTCCTCGGCACCCTACAATCCACGTCTTCAGTTTGCAGTCACAAAAAATCGTTTATCATGCCTCTGTAGCGTACACCGTTGACCGAAAGGCGTTTCCAGCAGCACGATGGTCACATGCGGAATTTCCTATCTTCAGACGCGGCCGCAGTGCTTGTTAAAATAGCCGCCGAGATAAAAATGGCTTCTTCAGAATAGATGATTTTTTCTAAGCAAAATCGTTATCCATTAAGTTTGTATTTTTTCTCAACGTTATCGAAGCGTAAAGCCGTTCAATTCGTTTCGTCAAGATTTCCAGCGGGAAAGAATTGTAACATAACATTAAAAACACTATATGGATCACCCTATATATAGATGCTAAATGAAGTTTCTAATTACTCTTCGAATTTGTTTTATTTCTGTTTTCTTAAGTGAAGCATCTTTATGTGTATATTTACTTGGGTGATTGACACGTCGGGTCTACGTAACCGGAACGGCCTAGAGTTAACTCTGGCCAAGGACTGCCACTCCAGCAACACTCCCCAAAAAACTCATTGGGGAATCTGCTTGCTGTTACAAGAACAACAACAACTCATATTTCCAAACCGGTTTCGACCGTTTTTTTTTTTGACCGGACCGAAAATGAAAGTTATTGTTTTCAATGTTATAAAAGTCCGGGGCATAATATTATCGTAGAGGAAAGTGATCAATGTTACTTTGATCCCAGTACCTCCTGGACAAGAATGCCGGAGTCCTTTTTATTTCTTTAACTTTTTAGTAAAAAGTCCAACAATAACTGAAAAATCCAGACTCTTATTTTTTTAGTCCAGTAATAACAGTTAAACTTAGCCAAATATTTTTTAAGTCCGAAATAAAAGTCCTTTCCTAATAATAAACAAACCTCGAGTGGCAGTAGGCACACCTAAGCACTCCGCTACGACAGCCAGAACACTACTCAAATCCGAATAATTCAAAAAATGCAACAATTTAGTGTTAAAAGAAAAACAAACGTTAATGTTTCACAGATATTTATTTGTATTACTTTTGATCTAAAAAAACTCTGAATTTATTTTGATTTGCTCTTTTCCAAAAAACAGTAAATACTTAGTAATAGTTAATAGTTTTTTTTTGTTATATTTGGAAGACCGGTTTATCAATAATTTCATTCACACATTTATGCTTACCATAAAGACGTAAAACGAAAAATTCACTTCTTTTGTGACTCCTTTATTTTCAGTGATGAACAATTATCAAGCAGCAGCTGCAGCAGCCCATAGCTTTGGACCATCCGCATCCCCTCATACTACCACCACCCGTCAGGGGTTTCCTTCAACCAACTCCCCTGGGCCTACCATTGATATGTACAGCTCGAATGCAGCCGATAACGTCGGCTATGTACAGGCAACCAGTCCACAGCCTTCTGGATTTCCGATTGCTGTGAGTCGGGCACCATTGAACTACAGCCCGGTAAGTGAAACTAAAATAATGAGTTATTAAAAAAAAATAAAGAACCCGTCAGTGCTTTTCTATTAACGCTTTATTGATTTTTAATAAATAATAAACAGCATACATTTCCTGATTAGAATATAAAACATAGTTCGTACACAAATTGTTAATAATTTAAAATAGTTAATCTTTATTTGAAAGCATAGGACTTGTGCAACCACTTTCCGGTCCATTTTTGACAAGTACAATTTAAACCTATAATCAATTAGAGTAAATGGAACTTGAAAGCACATTTTTTTAGTACAATGATTCAATGAAAATTTGGTAAACTTAATTTTATTTATTTTTTTTTATTGTTTTACTTAAGGCTATAGAAAGCTACTTTCAGCTTTGAGCTGCTCTTAAAAACTTGTAGATTTTCAATAGTTCATTTATGTCAGTATCATATGTAAATAATAGTTTATAATAACTAAATTTGAAATAACTAATTATTAGAATACCAAAAAAAAATATTTAGTTCTTCTCAAAAATCTTTAGTTTTTTCATATTCAGTATTGTTGGCCAGTCATATAAAATATTTCAAAAATAATAAATGGAAAATCTATTCCTCTCTCTCTCTCTCTCTCTCTTTCTCTCTATCTACTCTTCTCTGTTTCTTTTTTGCTTTGCACAGATATATTCGTTGAACTTTGCGATGGCTAACATATAAAATGAAAAAGACTGATTAACCAACAAAACATAGACAGAAAAATTAGCAGTTGCACAAGGTAGGCGAACGCTGATGCTTACAAAAGATATAAAACCCCAAGAAATTTTTTATTTAGAAAAAATTAATATTAATATTCGACTTTAACTTTGGTTATTTTCCAAAAATAATTGTTTTCGATTTGATTGCATACTTTTTAGCGAATTAAGTACTTCTTTATATAACTCTTTTTTAATATAGGAAATTTGCTTTGGATACTAAATATTTATGAAATATGTAGAACATAAATTTAACCCAGCAGGAGTCAGAGAAAAACTCTTTTAATTACACCTTCTCTATTTTTACAGTTCGCTCAGTGAAGTATTTTCCAACCTGTCATGTGTTTTATTCATAACCTCAATCATTTCGGAGTGTGATACATCGAATGGTTCGATTTCTTCTTTTTGATTGATGATGCTTTTAGCAGGGTAGGAGCACGATGTATATAGAAACAATATTTCCGCCATCCCTGGTCAATTTCGGTTTGAAGACAAACCGCTTTCGGCGTTCAGTGCCATTTTTCGGTTTTATATCGCTTTAATATTGGGCTGACCTAACTTAACTTTTGCGACTAGTGAACTCCATTATCAGAACTTTTATTTACCATACGTACGTACGATCTGAACTGTTTATATAAACCAATTTATCGTTAATTCTCGATACTTCCCTTTTACCGCGCCGTGCCCGTGAAACTACTTTCTTGAGAGATTTTGATAGGCAGAACTCTTGCAGGAAGCTGGAATTTAGGTAACTGCGGGATTTTAGTCCATATCGAGCCTATTTGTATGGCTCTTCTAAAGGAAGTGATCATACTGGGCCTATTGAGACGATATTTCGGTAACCCTTCCACTAAATAGATACTATTTGCTTGAAAGGATTGGAGTAGGATTCCAATCACCGAAGGTGCGGGAGTGAGCATGCTAATTGAATTTGCAGACTCAAAAATACTACAAATATTTCCGGCCACCTTTGCGGACTCAACTGCGTACCTACAAAACCGTATTGCATAAGTATGCTTAGTAGGTTATAAATTAAGTCCACTTTAAGCAGTCAGAAAGCCACAAACTTCTGCACCCCCTGCACGTATCCAGACAGAGAAATCCCGTACTTAATACAATTTATAGGCAAGCAAACCTCTTTCTCCATCCGAATTCCATGATAACCCGACACCCACATCAATATAATGCTCCTATGCCCTCCTACACTTCTCCTTTACTTTTAATAAATCTGAAGGCCTTGGAAGCTAGAAGATCTGTGCTGTCTTTGACTTTTATTTTCAGTGTTATTTTTGGGTCCTTGGACTATCCTATTCTATTAGAAAGTATAAATTCTAACATTCCCCAGCGCAACTTACGGGAAGATGTAATGCCGAGTGTGCACGTAATGCCCTCTTTGCACGTTCAGGAAATGAATTACAGAAGATCTTATATTCTATTTTAGTTGATTCTTCTTTAGAGAGAACTATATTTATTGAAATCTTGAATTCGTTCTTTTAGTTACCTTTTTGCATTGGTATGAAATGTTCTTCAAAATTTCTGCATAATTATGTATACGATTGTTCTTTTTTTGAGGCCCCGATAGTCTGTAGGAAATTTATGTTTTATAGACTTTAATAAATAAATAAATATATTAGGGGATTCACTAGATAGGTACATACATAGGTAGGTAGGTGTGATTGCCAATGCAATACATAGCCTACAAGTCGAAGGCCCGTTGTGATACCACAACTAAGTGTTTTCTCTCCACAAATAGGCCTTAAATCTCCAAATTTGTAAAGGTCACTAAAGAAACGAGACCCCAGGCTGCGCAGTCTGTACCTCTTCGGAGCGTATAAGCTTCGAGGCCTTATTCGATTACATTGAATTTATACAAAACTGCATAGCTGAATAGATGAAATTGTTACCAAGGTACTTCGAATTGCGGTTACAAGAAGTGGTGTTATTTTTTGGTAACAAAATTTTGCGGTGTCAAAATATTCGGTCCTGCATTTAAGTCTCCGAAAACCCTTGCAGGGTGCACGGACATACTTTGGGAAAGCTTTGCAACCCGCGCAATCCATGCCCCGTGCAAGGGTAAACAAGGCTCCGGGAATCCTACTATTGTTTAAGTAAGCTGGAATTATGTAATTATCACTTAGCCATGTGCTCTTATCATCTCACAGTGGTGAAAAACTGGAATTTATTGTTCAAATAGTGCAGAGCCATCTTTTTCAATCGATTTGATAAAATTGTTTCTTATCTGTGTTCATATGAAAAAGTAGCTTATGTCAAAAGGCTAGTTTTAGTATAATGCGGCATTCCCTTTATTCTTTAAACAACAAGGAATTTTTTGATGAGACTTAATAAGAATATTGACTTGCCTGTATCGGAACTACTTCTTGTACGTTTATTTGCCAAAAGTTCTTCAACGGCTCAGCACCAGTGAGTCATTCGCAATCGCATACTGCAAATGCCGATTTATACTAAAGCCAGCCTTTCGACATAAGCTACTTTTCCATACGAACACAGTTATATGAAAGCTAATTAGATTTAGTAGAGATTTGTGGACTCCGGTTCTTTAATTTAAGGGCCGTTTTCTGAGGTAGGGTTTAAAATGTATCTGCCCTTTAAACCAGGGCTTCAGAACGGAGCAAAGAAGCAAAGGATTTTGTATGGAGCAAAGAGCTTAACAAATTCATTTGCTCCTCAGCTACTTAATGTAAAATTTTCAGTTAAGTTAATAAATTTAATTTATTTGTTTTTGTTATTTTATGGCCTTATAACAATTATATTCAACAATTTTGATTGAGTTAGAGGCCGTTTTTAATGAAAAACTTATTGTGAAAAAGCAACAGCAATTTGAAAAAATGGTAGAAGTGATAGCTATTTCGGAAATCACCACATTTCCTCATCAGACTTCCTTCAGTAGGATTCGAACCCTCGATCCTACTGACTCAGCCAGTTGCCTACGCACTGCGCTAAGTTCGCCTTGGAAATTATAGTTGCTTTTTCCCCACTTTTTTTTCATTTGTTAAGCCAACACAATCAAGCGCAGCTATTTCGCTGCACTTCACACTTAACAAGTGGTTGTTGGTTTTGTTAACAACTCTATTTTTAGAATGTTTAACTTTGAGGTGTGCTCGTCTTTAAGTTATTTGTTTTTACGTCTGGTTCTTAATTTATGGTAAATCGTAGTCTGCATAAAATTTGTATTTTAAATTAGAGATAAATAACTAGGAATTTTCTTGTACGGTAAAAAAAAACTTATGAAGTGGTCCAAAACTACTAAAAAATCGATTCAAGAATTTTTTAGAAATTATTTGCCGAAAATTTTAAATTTTCTAAATCATTGTTCAAAGATATAAAATATTAAAAACACTCACAGCCAACATTTTCATCACTTATAATATGAAAAAATATAAATAAATAAATACATTCTTAAGACCACTTGTATATCATGATATTATTGGCGTATACTAAACCTCATATTCATAACAAATATATGAGGGGCAAAATTCGTCAAGTGTACCAGGAAAAACATTTTATGGCAGCACTTTGTTCAAACTCCACCACGTTGTTGCTATGGCTACTGGTAATCAACATGTTAAAGAATTTTTTCTACCGTGGTTTTTTGTCGAGTTATACGAGTTCAAACATGCAAATTTCAGCCCTTTTTCTTAGAGTCACAAGTTTTCTTAAAATTGTTATCTAATGTCACACTTATGATAGAGAATCAAAAATTGCTGACCTATTAGAACATTTTTAGTGGAAACTATAATTTTTTGCAAATATTTTTTTTTGTCAAAAATTTGCAATAAAAAAAATGTATTGCATTTTTTAAGCCATGCACCATTTTTTCACAAGTGGTTATTTCTAAGCTTTTCAATAATATAAAATTTGTATTGGGCGTGGCAAAAGGATTACAAGTTTTTCATTATAGAACGCACTCGGATACGCCTTCCATTTTTGGCGTCAATAACACAAGTCTACAAAAATGAAAAAATTGTCCGACCAGCGCCATTTTTATATTCATTCTAAAGTAAAATTTTCATTCTAAAGTAGAATTTTCTTTGGATGTACATAGTTGGCCAATCTTAAATTTATGTTTGCATTAATAAAGGCTATTAAATTTTCTATCATATGCGTCAACAAGATTATCCAAGTTGATAAGCAATTGAGAACAAACAACGAGATGATTTTCGAATGGTAATCGAAAAGACTAAACTCTTCAAATCCATAGGCCTTGGCGCAGCGATTCATAGGAGGGACACCTGCCAACTAAGGCGAATCATATCGCCGATATTTCTACTTTTTCTTGGCGTAAAGACAATTGAGGCCTTTTTTCTCACGTCCTTTTCAAATTATGCAGCCGATATATAGTATGTATATAATTAACTTTAAGATACTTCAAATTGTCTTGCGGTTTCTAACAGTTTGACTAGTTATGATATAACACCTTAAGAATCCCCCTTACTTTCAAAGTTTGCTTGCCTTCAAAAGTTTAGTAGGAACTCTATCTGTTACTCCAGGCAGGATTTGTTTTGCAGATATTTAACGCATACACTCAGGAAGCCTGATTTATTTAGTATTTAATAAAAAAAGACACACACATATACACAGTAGGTTTCCTTAACAAGTAATTTTTAGGCAAAAAACAAAAGCGACTTTGATTCTCATATAAAAATTTAGGAGTACCGTTAATTTGTTCATGATCCAATGAACGGATCTAAACCAGATTTGTACGGGACCACCTCTGAGACACTGCCTTTCCGATGCAAAAAGAATTATTGAAATCGGTGCGAATCGGTTGATTTGGTACAAAGTTATGCGGTAAAATACATACAAAAAAATATTCCGACGAATTGATAACCTACTCCGTTTTCCGAAGTCGGTTAAAAACGGCAAGCTCAATAAAATGTTGAATATAATTGTTATAAGGCCATAAAAAACAAAAACTTAAAGACGAACACACCTAAAAGTTGAACATTCTAAAAATAAAATGATTAACAAAAGCCAACAAAACCAATAACCACATGACCAAGTGTGAATAACAGCGAAATAACTGTGCTTGATTGTATTTGGCTCAAATGAAAAAAGTGGAAAAATCAACAACGGTTTATAAGGCAAACTAAGCGCAGTGTGTACGCTACTGGGTGAGTCAGTTGGATCGAATCCCGCTGAAGAAGTCTGATGAGGAGATGTGGTGATCTCCGAAATGGCTCTCACCCCTACCATTTTTATAAATGATTGTTGTTTTTCCACAGTAGTTTTTATTAATCAAAACGCCATCAAGCTCAACAAAAAAACTAGACTTTCGTCAAGTCATGTCTGCACAATTTTAAAATCTAATAACACTGTTTTTTTTCAAACGGATTGATAAGGAATCTTATTTCCCTAACTGAAGCTGATGTTAATGATCAGTCAGACTTAATACTGTCAAAAAAAAAATCGTCTGAACCTTTTAGAGTCTAGATTGAAAAAATGAAATTTTCTTCAAGCCAATCCTAAGGTGTGCCGTTTTGAAGCCGTGGCGAAGAACTGACCAAGTTTATTGCAATAATTTTGCTTTGGTCATAAGCTTGCTAAATATTAACTTAAAACAACAAGATTGGCGCTTGTTTATAGACTCGTCCAAAAACCAGTATAAAAGTAAATACTCTTGCAAAATGGAAATAGATTACCATATTCTCCTGTAGAATACGCTTTCAGAATAGAAGAAATTTAAGAAAGCATGAAATTCGTACTAAAATAAATTCCGTGTGCATAAACGAATTTCATTTCAACTTAAAAGTTATTTCTTAACTTCTTGGATTGCTTTTTATGTGAGCTGGAGAGCATACACCGAAACAATCATTAACGTACAAAAGACTGGCAAATGAGCGAATGCATTACTCCTTGGAAGAAAAATGGTTTACATCCTCCTCTTGTAGAGCTGACCAGTATAATTTTGCCACCACTATGTATAGAACTTGGATTCATTAGAAAATTGGTCAAAGCCATGGATGGCAACGTTTCAGGTTTTCTATAATCGAAAGAAAAATTTCTTACAGTTAGTGACGCTAAACCAAGGGAAAGAATTTTCGTTGGACCCTCAAATTAGGGGATTGTTCAGATATAACTTATTCGAAGAAAAGCTGAGTTCGTTAGAGAAATCTGCTGAAAAGAATTCACAGCACCCGATTTTCAAAAGCATCGATACTGAGTACTCTAGAATACTCAGTAATCACAAAAGAACTCGAAAGTACTCAGTACTCACAAAAGAACTCGAAAGTACTTAGCTAGTACTCATACTCTGTTCCAATCATCACTTGGGTACATGTACTCAGCATCGACTCAAAGCGCTGAGTATTAACTGCCGCATAGCCATTTAAAAGTAAGGAGTTCTATTTACATTTAACGGTATTCGGAAATGATTGTACTCAATTTGAAGTTTCAATAATTTTCAAATTCATTTGACGCAATTTGGGATTAGTATATTAATTTGAATAAGTGCTACCAGCTTGTGAGATTTCCACACTAATCACTGAAATATTACCAACATGTGCATATTTAGGGAAAGTACTCAGTAGTTTAAAAAATACCCGATCCTTAAAATTATCGATACCAAATAACTCGATCCTCAAAAGTACTCGATACTTCCCAAATCTAAAAAAACATATTTTCAAGTTGTACTTGAAGTAAAGACTCAGCATTTTTATCAAGTATAGAAGTAAAGTCACAAAAAATATGGGTGCCAAAAAAGAATTTAAAAACAAACCCAAGAACGTGCATGTGACAAATTAAAAGTTAATTTTTTTCGATCAGCGTGATTAGTTTACTGTAGGTATTTATCGTTTTGAGCTAAGATATGAAAGCCGTCGTATTGTATATATTATAGTTTGAAATTTAAAGAAGTTTATTTTTTTTGCAATTATTTGCCTTTAAACACAAATTCTTTTAAATATTCACTACTTTATTGAAACACGTCTATAATCTCTTAACTAATTAAAATGTATCCCTTTTCTCTCTTTTCATTTGTTTCTCTTTCATATCTCTCTCATCTACACTACTGCACGGCTATACTGTCTATCTCTCTGCATTTGTGTGCATTCTGCTTTTTCATTCACAGGGACCACTAATTCCTGCGGCGTTTACAAATGGATACCATTAAAAAGTGGCGATGCGTTGCAACAAATTGTACACCCCAAGAAAAAAAATCACAGCAAAGGACAACAGCAACAACAAATTATACAAAAATCTACAACTAACAATTAAAGCAAATAATTGTTTTTCGCAAAACAAGTACGAATAGTGAATTAACACATACAGGAAAAGTTGAAAATTTAACAAAAAACTCAACACAAAAATTAAGTAATCAAACACACCAAAAAAAAAACAAAAACAAAAACAAAACATACACACGTGCGTATTAATATTAAAAATTAATAAAATAAATAAATCAATATGTGTAATGTAAACAAACATGCAAACACATACGTACGTAGATATGCAAATATGTACATATAAAAACATACACACAAACACACATATATACATAATAACTAATATAAACAAATTAGTAAGCGCATGTGTGAAAATGTGCAAGCGAGCGAACTTCGACTTAAAAAAAGAAATCCTTTTTTTTTTGATTAAGTTAAACCAAAACTACAGAATCTATATGATAACAACAACAGCAATAGCAGCACAAAATCGTAATAGCAAATATCAGTTTGTTTCCAGGAAAAAAAACTACAAAAAAGCAGAATTAATTTATGTAAAACATCACTTTACCTACTCATAAAGCCATGCATGTATGTGGCGGCCAAAGAACAATTAATGGCAGCATTCAATGCGCAATGATGCATTCAGCGGCGTGTGGGATGAAGCGGCAAAACAGCAAAATAATTTAAAAAAAATTGCATGGAGTGTCGGGCATTAGCTACATACATACATATATATGTATAAGAGGAACAACGGAATGGCTACAATTCAAATTACTGCAGCACCAAGGAGGCTGTTGGGCCTCCATACTTTTCCATATGTTTGTACTGGCAAATCATTGTCGGGCGTGTCGTATACGCAACCTGCGAAACGACATACTTGCATACATATTTATGTGCATACGCAGCATATTATCATTTGAAATTATTTATTGTTAAGCAATTACTGATAATATTGATTAATGAGAGTGTAAATTGAATAACTATTTGTTTGCCGAAGCCTTGATTGATTGATTGATTGATGAATTAAATGCAATAGCGAAATATTGTGAATGTTGTAGCGAAATTAAAAACAGCAAAAAAGCACAGAAGGCACAGAAGGCACTTCAAATAGGGGCACTTCTATTCTGTGAAAATTTAGCTTTGTTGTCTCGATTTAAATTTGAAAATTGTTTAGGTAAAATTTGTACGTTATCGCTAATCACGAAGCTTTCTCATTTGTATTTGTTAACCAAAATGCGAGCCTCTAATCAAATAAATTTTATCATTCACATACATACACATAACTTTTTATGCAAATACATACATATCTTTGTTGTTTTTTTCAATGAGCAGCGATCTGCTTATTTGTTAATCGTTTTGTTGAGGTAGAGTATAGAGAATCGGACATACATATAAAGTAGATGAGCTGATATGTTAGCAAGCAGCAAAAAAAAAGTGCGCATCAAATTAGTTTAAAAGCTAACCTCAAAATAAATACACAGTACAGCTACGTGCATAAAATGAATATTTCAAGCCTAAAGATACAGTAAACAGGGAAAAATTTGCATAATTTTTAAGTGCGATGAAAACTATATTCAGTTTATTGCAAACAATGTTAAGTAAATGAAAATTTTCATGATTTATTTTAATAAAAATTTTGGTCAGTCATTGCCAAAATTCGTTTAATTTCGTTATTCCATTTTCACTGCAATTTCCCGTTAAAAAGCAGAGTTCAAAATGGTGCAATAATCGTGCAGAAAAATATATAAAATTTATAATGTAAAAAGGGGGTTAAGTACCCACTTAGAAATGTTAGTTGTATCTATTCGCCTTTTCCAGCAAGATTTACACAAGTTATACGTACATTAGGATGGGTCAATTTTTTTGTCCACTAAATCGTATGGTATTTTCTGATTCTGCAGATAATTCTTAGATAAATTGTGGAAGAAACCGTGGGTTGGTAATGCGTTTCGAGCATGCGCATTTTTTTAAGAAAAAATTGCCTTCTCATGGTAGTAAATTTTTTTCCCTTTTCCTTTTTTTACGAATGTTTTGTTGAATGTTTTTTTTTTTTAATATTGCACAATATTTTAAACATGGATTTATGTGATTTTTGTTTAAGAGGAAACTATATATTTCGAAAAAAAATACGAAAAAACTTGTCAATACACGCGTTTATAGTTTCGATACGGAGTTTATTTTTGAATTGTAAGTATGGTTAAACAATTAAAAATATTATAAACTAAAATAAAGGCACTTTGCGGCCATTAGCTTTAACTTCGTAAAGCTGGCATAGAACAAAAAAATTAAATTTTGAGAAAAAATAAATTTTTGGTTTCAAAATGCGCAGGCTAGAACTTCATTTCCGACTTACAGCATATTCTACATGCTCTCTTAGAATCATCTATAGAAACCGAAAATATCATGCGATTTGTCGAGCTATTTTATTCACCCCAAAGCAAATATCATCGATGTTTTTGTTTTGTTTCGTTCTGGCATACATGACATTTGGTAACCCTGAACTTCAGGCATCGAGATTTATGCATAAAAATCGTTAAATCGTTATTAAAACAACAAATTTGCAAAATTATAGCTGAGAGAATATACCGACTATAAAGGCATTGCCTTCAAAGAATAAACCATTTTTTCGCTCTCCTGTAAAATTTAACTGCCGTAAGATAAGTGGTTTTGCAAAAACAGCGACGATATGTATATCTTCCTCAGAATCGCCTTTGTTTTTTATGAAGAAGTGGCATGAAATTAAATACAAAATTATTTTTTTTTTGTCGAGTTATTCTCTGTTTTATTTTCTAAGTGAGTCCCTGACATCAAAAAAATTTAAATATTTGTCCTCATCATCAGTAAATTGTTATCCTCGAAACTTTTATTTAATTTTTTTNTTCCACCGAATCTATGTAAAAATATGGCAATTCGGATATATATTTGAATGGTGCATACAGAAATCGAATTTTTCTTGGTTACTCTACACGGAGCTAAGGGTGATTTGGCCCATTTTTGTGGTCAAAATTAATTATGGCCACACGAGTATATTATTAAAAAAAAGGAAATTCCCAAAGTTTTGCAAAAAAAAATAATAATTTAACCCTTGACGATTAATGGGTCCAAAGGCGGTCACTTGTTAATTTATGCTTTTGTTGACAATATTTCAAGGCACCCTTTACCAAATATTTATATTAAAGTAGGAAATGGCAATTAGTTGCAATAACAATTTATACAGTGGCTAATGTTAGAGAACATTGCCAAAATATATTAAGTTCAATTAAAAACCTGAAAGCCCAGAATTTCCTAATTTGTTCGCATTGTTTCGAATTAATAAGACCAGCATTTGCAGCCATTGGTTTCCTCTCTTTATAGAGTTCTCTTCTCTAAATGGTAAATAATTCACTACTGCCATTGTAAAGAATACCCAAAAAAGTAATTTTCTCTTTCTCTTTCATTTTAAGTGTAAAATTGCAACGTAGCAGTCTAGCAGCATTGTATTGTTGGAAAAGCAAAAAATCGCGTGCTATATTGCAACGTAGCAGCTTAACACCTAAAATGCCACAAATCATGAACTCCCCTATTATTTTAAATTTAGTATATTGCCCATATGCAAATGCTTAACGTTTTAATTCAATGCTTTTTTTCATACATTTCTTCGTACTTTTTGTTGACTCCCAAAAAAGATTTAGTAGTTAGTAAAAATATATATATTTAAAATGCTACATACATTTAATTGGCAAAAGTATAAAATTTTGTTTCGAAAAAAAAATTTCTCATTCAAACCAAAAAATCATAAACATTGACCGTAGAAACATTAAGCTCTAAAAAGACTTAATTAAGCTAAAAAATAAACTTTAAAATATTTATTATCATAACTAGACAGCGGACTTTTTTCTCTTCATATTTTTAGTCTGCTCAGAGCCAGCTGACAAATTAGCGACTTTTTTTTCAAACTAGAGACGTGAGACAATTTACTGAATACCAAAAAGTCTCAAATTCGATATTCACCACACGTAAAGTCTCTATTAGTGACCAAAGACTGCTTCTAATTTTTTATTTTGTCCAAATGAGGCACGAAAATAATGCTTACTGAATACCGGCTTAAGTTGTCCTACCGGTGATTTAAACGTTGAGAGCGAATCGCAGACACATCACGGAACGCAATTTCACTGCATAATATGCAAGCTAAGCTTAGCTTAAGTGACACCGGTATACGACTAAAATCAAATGTTATGCCCGCAGCTGCAAATTTTTTACTGCCGCTAGCTAATTTTTGAAAGCTTAACATTGGAAATCAAGCAGGTTTATATTGACCGACAGCCACAGCTTAATAAGCCAGTAAGAGGGCAGCTTATTAACGTATACATACAAATTTATATGGTGAAAGCACCTCTTAATAAAGTGCATTGATAAATTTCAATTTTACAAATATGTTGCCAAACTATTTACCCAATGAAAATGTAATCAGTGAGTCCTATGAAATATGCCAAACTTAATTTATTTAGGAGTGAAAAATACAAACTATTCTTTACACGCGCACACACACACACACACATACATTAACGCATGAAAGTTACCAAATAACAGGTTATTAAGATAACAATAAATGAAATACTTTAAAGCAACAATAACTACCATAATTGAAAAATTTATAAAAAAAAACGCAAAATGCAACCAACAAACCGCCATTTTCCTGCGTAAATGTCATAGGCCAAACCAGAAAACAGCAACAAAATGCAATTAAATCCTAAAGCTGGCAGCGCTGCTGCAACGTCAGCAACAAATTGACCACAGTGGAACACTTGCTTATTACTACCTACAACCAAATATATACATATACATACATATAACTAAATATTGAAAGAACAACCTAGTGGTAATAATTTAAAACACCAATTTTAATAGTACGGCACTTCATACATACATACTAACAATAAAAAATGAATATACATACATATATAAAATAAAACCATTGATTAATAAACTTGTACATGATTACATAC